AAAAAAAAAAAACTCCGATGCCAGTGCCAATGCAGCTGGTTCTGGACATTCTTGCTTTTCTAGGTTGTGACTGGTGGGCTGGAAACCGTACAGGTGGGAGTCTCCTGTAAATTGATACAATTAAACTACGAGGGCTATGGCAAAAAGAACGGAGTATTTATCCAGGAGGTTCTGCGAAGCCTGGAGGTTATAGGGTAGGAACTGTATTCTGAACGATGTGTCTTTTTGCTTCTCTGTGAGCTGTTTCTATAAACCCCTTATTCTCTAAAGGCGATTTAGAACGGAATGGATGCAGGAGGCAGGGGCTCTGGGGTTGGAAACCACTCTGGAGGTCTACGCGAGCCTGGGGGCGGTCCGAGAGCTGGTCCCCGGCCTCGTCCTCGGAAAACTACGACTCCCAGAAGCCTCTGGGCCGCAGGCTGGGAAGAAGCCGCAGGAAAGGGGTGGAGTCCAGGCAGAAGTCGTCGGCCGATTCCACCGTCCAGGGAGGGAGGGAGGGACCATCTGGGCGGATGTGGCCGGACCCGCGTTCTGATTGGTCGTCACGAGAAAGGGCGTCCGCCCTGGGATTGGTCGGATCCCTCAGGGGGGCGGAGACGGAGGCCGGGGGCGGCCGCTCGAATTTCCCGGGCTGGGAGCGCGGGGGCTGCCGGGAAGCTCTCGGGACGGTTACCCGCCCGGCTCGCCCGTCCGCCTGTCCGCCCAGCTCGCAGAGGTCGGGAGCGGGGCTTCGCCATGCAGAGCACCGACCTGGGCAACAAGGAGCGAGGCAAGATATGGCACCGCAAGCCGTCGCCGGCCACTCAGGACGGGTGAGGCGACGCGGGCGGCGGAGACCCCGGGCGGGGCTCCCGGGATCCCGGGAGGAGGAGGAGGAGGAGGAGGAGGAGGAGGAGGAGGAGGGGGCCGCACGGTTGACTGATGCACGAGAGTTTGCAGTTGTGCCGCGCGCCGAGCTGACGGGAGCCCAGAAGGCGACGCACGCCGGTCCCTCCCGAAGCCGGAGGACGCTCGCCCGCGCCGGCGATGCTCGCCGAGCCCTGCGGGGCTCCGCCGCAGCGAACCGGGGTGCACCGTGCCGTTTGCACCGTGCACCGTGCACCGAGCACCGAGGAGCGCCCGTGTGGCCCCCGGGGCTGTCACCTGGTGACGCCAGCGCGAGCCCCCGCCCCGGGGACGCCGCCGTTTGGGCTCCCGTGGTGCAAGCATGGTGCACTTTCCGATTCCCCGAGGTTTGCACGGACTTGATGGCATCCTCACTCTGGGTTCATACTCTCCAGGAGGTTTGTGGCTCTAGAGACTCTCTCTGTTTGTCTTTCAGTTGCCTCCCGGAAATCAAAGTTAAGTGTCTTCTTCGTAGGGTGAAAGCAGGATTAGAAGCGGTGGGTCAGCCCCTTACTCACCTGGCCAGCCAGCCACCTCGGTTTCCGGTGGCTGCCCTACCCTGTATCAAAGCCATTGACCCACCAACCTATCGAATAAATAAATAAATTTTTTAAAATGTTGTCAATAGTGGAGATTCTTCCGCGTTTTCATTTCCCAATGTGGGGTTTTCGTAAGTAGCACCCTCTACGTCTGGCTTCTCCAAAAGGTCTGCAGATTGTGGCCAGCGTACCGTTTCTTGCAAAGTATCTAGGTAGATATGTAAGATTTTAAAAAAATCTTTATTATTAAAACATAGCTTTTTTTGTTGTTGTTCATTTAAATCAGTGGCTCGACCTGCAAATGACCCTTTCTCAGGGGTCACCTAAGACCATTGCAAAATACAGATATTTATATTACAATTTGTAACTAGCATATTTTCTAATTGTGAAGTAGCAACGAAAATAATTTTCTGGTTGGCTCGTCACCACACGTGAGGAACTGTGTTAAAAGTTTCGCTGCATTAGGAAGGTTGAGAACCACTGATTTAAACCCATTGTTGGGCCAGGGTGATTGTTAGGTAGGTAAAGATGCTTGCTGCATGTGCCTGGCTACCTGAGTTTAGTCCCCAGAGCTCACATACTCCAGTTTCCTGTCTGCTGCTGTGCTAAAACACTCTGACCAAAAGCAACTTTATTAAGACAGGAAAGGATTTATTTGACTTTTCTGGGTCAGAGTCCATCACGAATGAAGTCGGAGCAGGAACTTGAAACAAACTATGAAGGAACCCTGCTGGCTGGCTGGCTTGCTTTCTGGGTTGTGCAGCCCAGGGAATGGTGGCACTCAATGAAGTCAATCCCCTGCAGACACCAAGGCCAGTCTCATCTAAACCCTTCCTCAGCTGAGGCTTGGCTTTCAGATGACCCTAGGCTTGTGGCAAATTGACATTTAAAACTACAAGGGTACCCACAATTCCAATGGCCTCAGCCTCCACATGTTCTACATGGCATACCCATATGCTCATTGATAATTACATTTTGGGAAGGGAGGCTCCAGACAGGGTTTGTCTATGTAGCCTTTGCTGTCCTGGAACTCGCTCTGTAATCCAACCTGGCTTTGAACTCAGAGAGATCGGCCTGCTTCTTCCTCCTCGGTGCTGGGATCAGAGGTGTGCACCACCACCATCCGGCAATAATTACATTTTTAAAATAAAAAAAATATATTGCTATGGGTTGAGAGAGACAAAAGCTGAGCCAGGAGATTTCATTGTTGAAGGAAGTGCAGGTTTACCAGCTGCATCCTGGGAGCAGATCAGATAATCAGTCACTAAGCAGGGACAGTCACACTTGGTCAACACAGTCTGCTAACCGGAATACTGCCCTCGGCGACCTAGCTGAATTGTACTCTACCACAATCTTATTTTTGTTGGCTTTCTTTATCACATTTATTTATTTATTGTATGTGCATTGTGGGAGTCAGGACAACTGTGGGCAGAGTCTTGCCTCCCACCTCGAATGAGGGTCCTGGGGATTGAACTTGGGTTGTTAGTCTTGGCAGCAAGCACCTTCACTGACTGAGCCTTCCTGAAAGCCTGGCTTTTGGTTCTTTGAAACAAGGTCTCACTTTTTAGCCCAGCCTGGGTAGGAACTTGTGATCCTTCTGCCTTGGGCTTCCAGAACGCTAGGATTAAAGGTCCTTCCCACCATGCTTGGCTATTTTTAATATTGTGAACAATCATCATTTGATTTTTGTCCTCAAACTGTGATGTCACAGAAAAACAGGCTGAGAGGGAAACGTTATTTGTTGTGTGTGAGTTTACTTGGTTGTGTGTGTGTGCGTTTGTATGTTAATGTATGTGTGTATGTTATGTGTGCGTTTGTATGTTATCTGTGTGGATGTGCGGCTGTGCTGGCTGGTGAAGGCCTGAGATGACCATCAGGTGTCCTCCCTCATTGCTCCCCCCTTTAGTTTTTGAGTGATAGACTCTCCCTGAACTTGGTGCTCGTTGATGGGTTAAGCTAGACTGACTGGTCGGCCAGTGGCCTCAGGGAGCTGCCTGTCTCCCATCCTGCGTCGCTGGGGTTGTGGATGTGCGCCGCCGTGTGCAGCTCTTCCGTGGTGTGAGGATCCAGACTCAGGTCCTCCTGCCGTTGCACTTTACTGACTGAGCCATCAGCCCCAAAGACATTGGTGTTATTTCAGGACAGTTGTTGTTTTATTAATTCTTATTTATTTTGGCACAGGGTCTCCTTTAGCCCATTGTGGCCTCAAACTCACCATTTCAGCTGGCAGTGACCTTAAACTTGCGAAGCTCCTGCCTCTACATCCCAGATGCTGGGATTGCTGCAGATGTAAAGATGTATGTGGACCACCATGATCGGTTTCCTTTGGTGGTGGTGGTTTGGTTTTTTGTTTGTTTGTGTTTATCGAGACAGGGCTTCTCTGTGTAGCCCTGGCTGTCCTGAAACTCACTCTGTAGACCAGGCTGGCCTTGAACTCAGAGATCCACCTGCCTCTGCCTCCTGAGTGCTGGG